TACAAGGGGTTAAGAACAGTATAAACCTCTTGGGATACTGAAGAGAACAACCAAGCTGCAGCTTTTGCGGATAATGTTTATCTCCAGGCTCCAAATGTCTTTCCACCGTTCTTTCAGACATCACTGGTTTTCACCCAGCCGCCCTATCACTCTGCTATCTTCCCACTGGCTAAGCCCTCTGTCCATCCTCCATCCCATCACACGTCCCTTCAGACTCCTGCTTCTTAACTGGAAGATCACTTCTATTCTCTCTCTCCCCCACTAGGTTAGTGACATGAACCCATTTCTAGCTTTGAGATGGCCAAGTGGTCTGGAATTCCACTTACTGGTTTAAGGATGACTATGTAATTTGGTCTGTTATTCACTCAGAACAGATTGTCCCCAAGAACGTCCACCATGTAAAACACAGACTTCAGTCACTCACTTCTCACTAACCAGCTGAGCATATGAAGAGAAGTGGGGAAGCCAGTTTTATATCATGTTTATATATCAACGAGCCTGAATTGGACAGAAGCAGCCTGCCACTGTGGACCTATTTCTGATCCTCATCTACAGGATTCGTATCGGCTGGGGCTGCTCTTTGGAAGGTTTCCGTCCTGATCCCATTTAAATTAATGCCACTTTTACCACCAACGTCCACGAGAGCTGGAGGAGACCTGCAGGAACATCTACACAGCAAAAGGGGCTGAGGTCAACAGACTCACAGGGCTCATGCTACAGGGATGAAAAGAGCAACAGAAATGTTCAGGGTCTAGCTGCAGCCCAGGGTTTGAGGTCCTCCTGCTTCCAGGCTCCCTGAGCGAGAACTTCTATGCTGCCATTTTTAGCCCAGCAGCGTGCCTGAGTCAGTTGACCTGGTTCTGAGACTGGCTGCCGTGCCATACAGACCTACCCTAACATTGATAATGCTCCAGAGGGAATTGAAGAGGGAAATTGTGGCCTTCCATGAAATCAGGACTTTCACCTCTCCATTCAACAAGTCCTCCCTTAGCAAAACACGTAAGCGGATGTTATGTCCCATTAATGTAATGTTCACGTTAAGCATATGCTTAGGTGCTTTTGGAACAGGAATGAACTTAGGTAGGCACCAAAGTATTCTGCTGCACTGGGGCACAACTCTCTTACTGGCTCAGCTCTGGCCGCATGCTCCTGATTAACTGTCTCCAGGGTGGCATGGGGACGTGGAAGCCTAATAACAGAACAGGAGTCTTCCTGTAATACTCCTTCCCCTTACCCCCTCCCCCACCCAATCTATTAACTGGACTAAAACTTGACTGAAAACAGAGCATGGCCTTGGCTATATTATAAATAGTAGCTAAAAGCGTACAAAACTCATCAGCATCTCTCAAACATTAATGCTTGCCCTTGCCAAAAAGACACTGCCAAAGGCAGGAATACTGCATGCTCCTTTTTCTAATTATAAATTTAACTTTAATGCCAAACCCTCAGAATGCTAAATCCAACTCGTCTCTCAAGCAGAAACGTGCATATTGCTCTCTCTGCGCTGAGTTCCTAGGACACAGTGGAAGAAAGAGGCTTGAGGGGGTAAAGCATCTTTATCAAGTTTTCAGGATATTCCCAGATGCAAAGTCTGCATTATTCTTTTTTTTAGGGGGGGGGGGGGGGGGGGGTCATGCACAAGAAATACAGTTTATAATGAACTACATAAAGTCAAAGCATGCTGTTTAAAAAAACCATTTACCCAGAAGTTGCTATAACAATTGAATGCACTCATGGGTTTTTGTGTTAGAATAAGAGCTTAAGACACAAAGGCTGTGTCTAGACTGGAAATCTTTTCCGCAAAAGCAGCTGCTTTTCTGGAAAAACTTGCCAGCTGTCTACACTGGCCGCTTGAATTTCCACAAGAACACTGACGATCTCATGTAAGAAATCAGTGCTTCTTGCGGAAATACTATGCTGCTCCTGTTCAGGCAAAAGTCCTTTTGCGCAAAAGGGCCAGTCTAGACAGCTCAGATTTGTTTTGGGCAAAAAAGCCCCGATCGCGAAAATGACGATCGGGGTTTTTTTATGCAAAAGCGCGTCTAGATTGGCCACGGATGCTTTTGCGCAAAAGTGCTTTTGCAGAAAAGCGTCCATGCCAATCTAGATGCTCTTTTCCACAAAT